TATGTTCACATATGATTCACGAAAAACATGTCACATATGCACATATATGCACATCACATTTCCCCGTCCACTCTAATATACGTATATTCATTTAATGCAATCAGTGATATAAATTGGATCTGTGCAGTAGGCGCATCGTGCATAGATTTAAATTTGCGCATATATTAGTGCTCTCCATATATATAAAGTGCGTATAAATTTCTTTTTTTTGTATATTTTTTTTTGTGTTTGCGCCAATAAAATTTTTTTGAATTTATAATACTGAATGCAATAATCAAGATTCATATGGCGTAATATATAATAATAACGATAATAAAATTTATACATACTTTTTTAGATCACCATAGAAGATCTAAAACCTTAATTACATGATGTTTTTCGCCTTCCTTTTCGTCTCGGATTCCTTTCTCTATTTCTTCTTTCTACAGTTCCTTATCTGTTTCTAAGATTTCATCAGAATGGTATGCTGTATCATCTAAAATAATATTAATATTAGGCAATGCCTCAGCCCATTCTCGTGGATTGAAGTACTTTTTCCAAAAAGCACTCTTGGTTTTGATCAATTGTTTAAAACCAATGCAACGATAATTCTTTTTCTATTTATATAAAATAAGAATGTTAGAATAAATACAATGCTCTATTTAAATAGAAAGCATGTGACACAATTATTAGTTTTCAGATCTTCTTTGTATAGTAAAATATGGCCAAATACAGTACGTAGTAAAATATCAATAAAAAAAAACAAATACGTAAAAAGAACCAAACATAAAAAAATACTGCTTGTCTTCTTTGGTTAATATGATGCTGAGATCATTTTTTGGTAATTTTGTCAACATCTTTTTTATCATTATTATGTTCTCGCTGATGCTTATGTTTTTTTTGTATAATTTTCAGAACTTCTGAGCGGGTATATTTGAACAATCTTTAAGTGCCTTCATAAGTTTAGAAAGAATATTTTTAATAAATATATTTTTTTGTAAAGCCCATGTTTTTTCTGGATCCGGAATCTCAAAATTGTCAAACCCGGAAATTATCACGTCAATTTCATTTTACATAAAAAAACATTTTTAAAAAAAAATTTAACTAAACATTTTGTATAAAATGTAATATTACCATTAAGGTTTTTTTATATTGTTTGGACATAGGCAAGAATTCATTTCTATTTCTAGGTTCTTTTTTTTTATAACCTTGGTCGATCGCCTGGTGACTCGGAAACTGATGAATTTGCATCGTCTTTACTAGCATCTTGGTTTGATAATCTCTTGAGAACTTTCTTAATTTCATTAATATTCTTTTTTAACTTATTGGCTAGTTCACGTATTATAAAAAAATTGACAATTGTAAGTTTATACATATTTGTTTGTTATACAAATAGATATTTATTGAACCTTTCTTTTGTTTTTTGTTTGTATAACGAAATTCAGGGACCTGGTATTTTCTTTTTCCCTTATTAGGTTTTGAAGAACTTTCCTGATCCGAACTGGAACTTGAACTTTCAGATCGTACTATTTTAACTTTGGTTATATAATATTTAGTTTATAATGATAATGAGTTTTAATGTTTTAAGAGGATAGTTATTTAAAGTAATTGAATTTTAAATTTACCTTTAAAATAATAAGTGTTTAATGTTGTGGCATAATTATCAGAGATTAAAACAATTATTTTAACATTAACAATCCAATATACGTATATTTGCTTCTGATGTGACATAATCCTGTTAACGCGATGTTATTGCAAGTTCGTAAAAACACATAGTCATGTGATACATAGAATTGTGTTAAGAGAATTTTGTATAAAAAATCATTAAACTTCATGTATATTTTGTTTAAAATATGCACTAAGACCTTTTGGCATCATATCGTTTCTTAATTTTGCCTGAATATTTTATTCTATGATGTAAAAAAGGCTTAGGTTCTGAATATGCCAGTGTAAAGTTTTATTATTTTTTTTAATTAGTACATACATACTTTATTTCATTGAACATCTTATCTGGAATCGATGTGGCTCATTTTGATGAAATTAATTCTTGACGGATAAGAGTTTATAGCTCTTAAAAGGAAGTCGATTATTGGTAAGAGTTTAAAGTATTATTGAAAATTAAGTATATCTAAAAAGTGGATTTTGGCTTGAAAAGGACTAATATTTATAGCATTTTGTTTGTTTGGAAGCAACAAGTACTAAGCGTACCTTTTCTACATACGTATAATAAATATATTACTGTAAAAAGAAATGTTAATAAAGAAAAACTATTTGCTTATAAATAAAAGTATCGTTAAATAATATCATTTTTTAATACTTAACTATTCAGTAATCACATGCACATAGTCTATTCGTTCTTCGAACCCAAAAATTTGCCTGTACTAACTTAAACTAAAGAATAGCTTAGCCAAACCTATAAAAATATTAGATTCGAAACTAAATTTATTCAAGTTGTTTTATAGCTCTCCTCTGATCATAACACTGATAATTGGTAGTAGTGAAAGTTTTTATAGTCTTCGATATAGCAGAGTTAAAATAATAAATATGTTTAAGGATATTAATATCATCAGTGTTCTTAAAATTACTAAAGTTATTATGAAAAATTGGAATAGAAAGATTATGAATAAATTATAAAGACAAATTAAAAAAAAATAAATAAATAAAACTGATAAATAAAAATAAATAAATAAAAAAAAAGTATTAAAAAAAAATAAATAA